GAAGAAGAAGAAGAAGAAGAAGAAGAAGAAGGAGAAGAAGAAGAAGAAGAAGAAGAAGAAGAAGAAGAAGAAGAAGAAGAAGAAGAAGAAGAAGAAGAAGAAGAAAGTTCGATTCACAGATCTGGCGGATGGGAGAAAGAAAAAGAAGAAAAGAGGAACTAAGGAAGAAGAGGAGGTAGGGGGAGAGGGAGAGAGAAGATTGAAATTGTAGGGAGGGAAGGGTATTTTTGGAAGAGTGTGGGTTAAAATTAGAAATGTAAACTTTATTTCCGGACGGAGAAAAAGGAGAAACGTAAACTTTATTTCCGGACGGAGGGAGTATATCAAAACATCTACAAAATTAGAGGTAGTATGACTATATTATTTTATCAAATGGGTGACGAAACTAGACCAACAAAGTGAATAAAATTTGACCTTGTGAATAGTGAACGTAAAGTTTATTTATGGATGGAAGGAGTATTTTTTCCATTATTACTTTGAGATTTATATAATAATATACCTTGATTTCTTGAGTTCAATATTATTTTTGAGTTCAATATTAGTCTCTTATTCAATATTTTTTTCCCATTAATACTCTGAGTTCATAATAATAATAATACTACGAGTAGTAGTAATAGTAATAATAATAATAATAATAATCCGGAGTAATAATAATAACAACAACAACAACAACAATAATAATAATAATAGTAATAATAATAATAATAATAGTAATAATAATAATAATACACTGCTGTCTATATTGTGTATAATCTACTCATTATCATGTAAACCACATTGGTGGATGGTTTCGCTAATTTTACCATCGCTTTTAAAAACTAAGTAATCATTATCTCTGATCAACTCTATGCTATCAATCTCGGCTCCATCTTTGCTCAACACTTTTGCCGGCAAGAACCCGTATTTCTTAGCACCCATCTCAAGTAGTTCCGGGAAGGTACTTGGGAGCACCGCCACAAACCCAGAAAAATCTCCCTTCTCCGGGCAGCACACCGTCACTCTAGCAGGAGGGCAAGTTGTGGCGGCGGCAGCACCCGGAGTGGCATTCTCAGGAAATGTCGGCAGGCCACTCTGGTTATTATTAAGGTTGTTGTCTCCGCCGTTCCGGGCAGCAGCTGACAGTACTCCGAACAATGAGTTGTGGAAGGTGTTACTCTTCCTCCTCCTCGATCGACCGCCGCCACTGCCACCGCCGCCGCCGGAGGACCCATCTATTGTAGAAGAAAGTGGGATGGTTGGCTCACTCTTGAACCTCCCCAGGAACCGAACGCCGCTCCTTTCTTCTTCTTCGGGTATTGTTATGAAACTGTTGGCGGCAGGACAAGGTTGCTGGGTTTTGTTGGAGGAGGATTCAAGAAACAGTTGTTTGATGTCCTCATGGCCTTGCTGTTCTGCAAGGCTCCTCGGAGTCCACCCGTTTTCTTCGGGCTTGTCAATGTCGGCCCCTTGGTTGACCAGGTACTTGACCATCTCAAGGTTGCCTTCGGACACTGCAATGTGAAGTGCGGTTGATCCATTCGCTTTGGGACGCGTCACGTCCCCACCCCACCTTACCATTTCTTTGAGTAGGTCGAAGTCGTTTCTCTCAGCGGCAATGCATGCAAATTGGCCCAGGTCACCTCGGCACAGTTCAGCACCATTGTCTATCAGTAGCCTGATCACTGGTTCATGCTTGCCCAGGATGGCCTCCCATACTGGTACACTCCCTTCTATGTCTGAATAGAATACAAAAGATATATTAGCACCATGAACACTGTAAGTAAAACAACTAACTCAGTATAATCTCAAATCTGTGAGGTCACAAAAATGTAAAACTAGATCAAGGTTAGGTAGAGTGTAGACAAAAATCTCTGATACGACCAGGCACTGGGGAAGATGAACCCAAATAAAATCTTTAAAACCATATAGCTGATTTTGGATGTTGAATTCATATCAAAATACTTCCTAGTAAATGTACCTCTACAGTTGGGATCAGCTCCAAAGTCCAGCAGAAGAAGTACACAGTTCTTACATCCTTTAGATGCTGCTATATGCTGAAGGGTGGGCAAGGAAAAAACACGCAAAAATGATTACAATGTGGAGCGTAAGTAAAAGAAATTCAGCAGTAGAGGTCACATACAAGAGCTGATCTTCCATTGTTGTCAGATTCGTTTGGGTCCAGGCCCCGCTTCAGCAAATGACGCAACAATAAATCATCTCCTCTAAGTGCAGCAAAGCAAAGGGTGAGAGGTAGGTCCATTCTGCCTCGTGCTAACATGTTCTCCGTCTGTAAGAGGACTCCTTCCATAATTGGATCCCTTGCTTCCTTCAAATGCTGCAAATATAACAACTAAGATTATTGTCCGTAAGCATTGAATTATACAAATATTACAAAAAATTCACATTCTGACCTGAAGGAGGTTATTCATTATTATGGTTCCATCTCCAACATTGGATTGAACAATATTCAAAAATGAAGTACGGCTCATTCGAAGAAGTTGACACAACCTTCTTGTACGTACTGTGAATAGCTGAGGTCTATAACACATAACCCCAATTTCACCACAAGGATCACCAGTCTTGGCCTCACCAACAACCTGCAGTATCATAACAATGCCAGACAAAGCTATGAAGCATAAAGAGAAAACACAGTTTATGAAGCCAAATGATTGATGTGTGCCTTCCATGAATATGCAGTGAAGTAGGAGGTTTTCATATGTCACTTGCCTGTTCAACTCCATTTTTATAAACCAGAAGATCCTGCCAAGTGATTTCAATGTTAAAGTATATCCAACCACAAATCCAAATGAAAAGTTAATACTGCACATGAAAAGGTAATACTTTCTTTTCACATTAATGAAAATGATAAAATTACCACAGCTCCGGCCACAAGAATATAGAAGTCTGTTGGTGCTTCATTTTGAAGAATTATATCCTCTTTGGGGGGAAAGTACTCCGCTTTCATCTCTGAGACCTTGTATTACACAACATTTACTATATTAAAGTTTTGTGAAAAACAGAGTAGAAAAACTACTGTATTTAATCATTTATATGTAAGATGTATCTGAACTCACTAGTTGGAAGAGTAAATCATCTGATACTCCCCGAAAGAGATAGACATTATCAACCAAAGAGTAAAAAAGAAAGTTTGATATGCTTGACCGGATTGCTTTAGGTAGTGAATCAATAGTCTCTTGCTGCTGCAGACCTTCTGAGTCTGTTCTAAATTTTAAGCACAAGTGAGCAAGCATCTGATCTTGGAGGCGAGTAGGCAACTGATTCCTCTGTGCAAAGCTTGAGGCTGCTTGAATTGTATCTCTCTGTTAATAACTTCCAAATCAAAATTTACTTCAATGCAGACCATATTAGGATATACTCCCTCCATCCAATAAAAATTTTTACAAAAAAACTTTACACTTACACCATACATTGTTTTGGTAATGAATATGTGATTGCTAAGCATTCTCTCCAAAAAAAATCTAACCACACTTTACTTTTCACCAACTTTCTTAAACTCCGTGAAGTCAAACCGTTAGGAATTTTATGGGACGGAGGGAGTATACATATAGATATGGCTAAGATTAGTGCTTCTACTCAATAATATAATGTGCTCACAAATTCTCTAGTCCTGCTTGTACGGTGGACCACTAAATTCGTCATATTTCCTATTAGGTATGCTGTCAACCCCAAGTCAAAAAGCATGTAGATCATGGTAAATATCATCTCTAATGTATTCTCAGCATGCAGGTCGCCATAACCAACTGTTGATAGAGTTGTGATCGACCAATATATAGAAGTAACATAACGGATCACTAGACTCTGGTGATGAAAATCGTCAATGCATGATGCCCCAATCCAAGTCTTTTTTGGGTCATGATAATGAGCAGCAAGGAAATAATAGAAGCAACCCGCACAATGAACTGCGAAAAGGGTAACCTACATTATGCACATAAATTCACAGTGCTTAATCAGCTGCCTTACATAGTCACATCAATACATCCAATTTTCATTTCGTAGAAAACAACAGTATTTGTGTTGGTGTACACTTACGCAAACAAGTTTTGCGCATCGAACCCAAAAATAACTGAAATTCCTATCTTTCTCCAATCTAAACAAAAGAGAATAGTGAGGGCTGTTATAATCCAGGTTTATTGATAATAACTGTTATACATCATTGGTAGTAGTCAAAGGAGTTACCTGCCAAACAGAGCACCAACTCTATGGAGACGCCAGAGGCGAAGCATACTGAATAAACCATATAGGCTTACTGGTGGTGAGATTTTACAGGCCACTTCTGGAGGGATTGTGGAAATGAGATCAAATGTGAACCAAGTGCTTGCATACCTCCAAGCGATCTGTTTTGGGTCATCAACAAGAAGGTATGTGGTTTTGTCCATGTATGCCAAAAAGAAGGTGACAACAATGTCAATTGCAAAGAAACCGTTCACAACATTATCAGTGATACTGAGGGGTCTTGCTGGGGTTGAAAGAAAACCAAATTCAAAAGGAGACACCCAAGCAATGTAGAGGACCAGACCAGCCAGAAAGGTCTCCCAAGCCCTGAAGTTGATATTATATCCAAGATGAGAACATTTTAGCGGAAGAAAGATGAAGAATCAGTTTATAGCCAAAAACAAATTAAGTTCTCTAGTACAAGGATAATGAATATCAAAAGAACATTTTCTGTGTTGACTGCCATGGTGCAACCTAGCCCACCTCTCATCAAAAGTTATTTTGAACAATAAATTTCTGTTATAAAACAGAAGCATCAAATACATATTCAAGATTGTTTGTGTTTGAATAGATTCTACTAGTAAAGAGAACTGTATAAGAGTACCCTCATTGCATGATCTCTAGATATGATGGTGCATTGGTGCGAAATTGTTTTTTGGCATTATTTTGATAGTTTAATGTTCAGTTGGGACGTTGGGTTTTAGAACATTCCAAGCGAGTTTCATTGTTCACGTTTGTCTAATACATGCAGTGGTGTCATTTGGGCATCAAAGTTTGAGCAACTAGATGACAAATGGTTGATGAGCTCTGATAAGGCCAGGGAAGGGGTCAGGTATTGGGTTATATAACGTGGAATTTACAACTATATCCATTATGCACAACCTTATAGAATAACACCAAAACAGTAATTTAATAGAAATAGCTGGCAAATTCACCCCCTTTTCTAACTCCTATCTGCCCAAATCTTTACTGAATGGTGATTGATGGTTCCCACCTAAAGTAAAAGCGTAAAGTTTAAATACTTTCGGCCACAATATTGTTTAAATGGAATACAAACAAAAGGTAAAAAAAGGACAAAAAAAAGTCAACAATGCACATGAGGCCTTTGTTTTGTCAAGATTAAAGGTCAAAGTAAAAGACACGCCTCAGAGAAATATATGCAGAGAATTGTGCAGCAAAAAATTCCCAGACTATCATTCTCGGCCCAGAAGAATCAACAAGTAAAAAGGAATACTTGAAAATCTTACCATGCAAACTGCTACTTAAACCATCATTACCACATTAATTATACCTATTGATGCCTATGGAGTATAAATCTAGATATAGTCAAAGACCTAAAGCTTTCAATGATTTTATATTTGTGTGTTTATCCCAAATCGGTTCGATTAATCTCTCACAGTGACACAGTAAATAAAAAACTTACTAGATTCAACCTACAATTTGATCATAAACGAAATCCGAGAGACAGAATGATGAAAACAACAACAAAACTAAAAAACGGGCAAGATAAAGCAACACTGTACGTGGAACCGAACAATTCAACAAGCAAAAAAGAGGCCAATTGAACGATTGAAAGAACAATTGATGAAATATATAGTTTAGAGAGATGCTTGCCTGTAACGGCGATCATAGGGAGAGACGATAAAGCGGCGGAGTTTCACTCTGCGGTTGCTCCGAGCGCCCAGAGGCGGAAGAATGCCAGTAGAAAGGCTGTAGTGGCTGCCGTCTCGGGATGATTGTTCGAGTTCCTGCGTATCGCCGCAAAGAGGAACCTGGAAGAACCCTCCTCTGAGTCGGCCCATGCGACTACCATACGCCATTGCTGCTACGAAGCATTGATTTCATTCCTTCTGTGCGAGATTTTGTCTTTGAATCTCGGGTTTTATATAGTGGAATTGAACCTTGATTGGGCCCACTCCCAAATTTCCAAAACATCTTTTAGAAGGAATTTTTTTTATTTTTTTCAAGAATTTTTTATAGAAGGAATTGATTTCCAATACTTCTTCTTTTCCTACATTTATCTTTACTTATTTATTAAAGTACAATCATATTATTACTTGTTTCACACTCTACCCGTCTTGCTTCAATTTTTATGGTTTTTTAGAAAAGTTAAAAAGAACTAAAAATTTATTAAAATACCTTTAGTGTCCGTTTGGTATAAGAAGTTGGTGGAATTGGAATTGAATTCAAATTGAAATTCTATGAGATTCAATTCCATAGAATTGAATTCTGTCAATTCTAATTCATTTTTTGCACTATCAATTCCAAATCCATATAATTTTTGTGCTACCAAACACCAGAATTGGAATTAAAGTCCTCAATTTCAATTCCATAATTTGAATTCCATATACCAAACGGGACCTTAATGAAAATGAATGAAATGTATCAAATGAAGTAAGCGAAGTGTAATAAATAAAATAAGTGGGGATAATTATAGAATTTTAAGTATTAAAAAAATAATAAGATCTATGAGAATAAAAAAAACTAATGAGAAAATCCCTAAAGGTCGGAGAGAGTATATCTACTCCGTCTTAAATTAATTGTTCTACTCCATTATTCACTAAACAATATTTTATTATCTTTAAGTCATTTGTTAATCATATCATTTATTGAAATAGCGCATTTATGTCATATACAGAATATATTTTATTCAAAATATTGTTTTTGGATAAAATAATAGTTTGAGCTCACAAACCATATCATTGGGGTCACTCCAAATTATACTACATCATATTCATCATGTCATTGAAACCTGACTTTTAAATCCTTCTACACATTTCCAAATAAACTTTTGTACTCCTTGCCCTGATCGATCACTTCTAACTTCTTTGATTTTACGAGTAAATTTTTTTCCAGCCTTATTATACGTTTAACAAGAGAAATATGAAATATTATTATTAATTTCCATATTTTTCTAGCTTTCTATATTATCTTTAGTATCATATCATGTATTTTAACTTTAGTTAGGAAATTCAATTGTGTATATATTGGTAAAACATTCATTATTCAATAAAACTAATTACTATTAAATTGTATCATGGTATTAGAGCAAAGAGTGTTTCTTTGGTGCTTATTGGATGCATATCATTTTTATGGATTTTCTCACATAAAAAATTATTTTTTATTTAAAATATAAATGCTTATTTAATTAATAAAAAAAGTCTTATTTTATCATATGAATGTCCATAGTGATCCTTAGGTCCACCATAGAATTTGACTAGAGACAAAAGCATCCAAAAAAAAGTGTCTAATAGCTGCCAAACCCCTTCATTCTCTTTTTGGTCATCGCCGTCCGAGACAACACGTTACCGCAAACACCAGCTAACCAACGATATGACCACCATCGATCTCGACAAATGTGCCTAAGAGCCATCTTCAGTTCTATTTCTCTCTTTATCTCTAAAAAAAAAGCAAGTGTGTGACCAAAGAACACGAAATCTACTTTTCTTTATGTTTCTTCTACAGTTCAAAAATATGGAAAATGATAGTGAAATGGAGAAGACCCACCAGGAGAAGAAGTATAATCAAACAAAATATAAAATCAATATAAAAATTAAAGGAATGATATAACATATACTCGTAATATTTGCTAACGAAAATTCTATCGTATAAATTTGGTTATTAATATGTCAAAGCCTTGTCTAAATCCATTTTCTTTTTAAAATATCGGGGTAGACGATTTTGGTGAAGTTCCAAGGACTACTATCTAAAACTAAAACTTTTAGTCCAGTATTTGCTTTCACTCGTGTAACAAGCTTAGATAAAGTTAAATGTGAGTTAATGCCGACTTGTTAAAAAAACTTAACAAATAATAATGTTTGACCTAGACTTTTTTTATAGTCATAGCAAAACATAAATTATTAAGAATTATCTTCTTTGGAAATTTATGGGTATTATAAAATCTGATAATATCAAATTTATTCAGGGATATGTAAACAGTCTCCCCGACTTTTTTTCTTGATATTATAATTACACGATGATATTTAAAAAAAATCAACGATTAACCTTATACCGTCACCAAATCCAAATATTTGAGATATATAAATAAGGTATTAAGTTCTTTGTGCGATGAGACTCGAGAAGGTACAAACATTACACTTAAGATTATGTGTATATATGCAGCCAAAATTAATATATTTAATATTTTCATACTTTAAACTATAAAATCATTAAATATAATCAAAAGTGATATTATTTTAAATTAAACTTTTTAAAAATACATAGTAATTTATGACGAAAAACAAAATATAACTTTAAATAGAATTTTGATTTCTTAATCAATATAACATCCAATATCCCCCTCTTGGCTTGAATGACAAGAAATCCACCCTCCAAGATTCACTCGCCCAAGTTCGATTCCCAGCAAAGGCAAATGCATTGACTCATTATGCAGTAATTGATTATGAAAGAATGACCAAATTCAACATTGTAATAAAGACAATAAAACTCCAAAACAAAAATTTCTTTACAAGAAAGAAAAATAATATTAACCACAACTTTTACTCCTTACGTCCACAAATTTACTTCATTTTTGAAAACTATATTAAAAGTTCTATAAATCAAGATGTGATAAAAATATCTTATATTATCAAATTATCAATGAAAACACAAATATACTCCGTAAAAGTTCTCAAAAATTCCAAAGTAGTAACTAGAAAATTAATTTGTAGTGAATATGTGGACAAAGAGAGTACTTTATAAGAAAAATAAAGTAATTTTTTGGGAAACCAGTATTGATGAAATTGGGACGGATAGGGCAATAGGGCATAAGGAAAAAATTCAAATATTATGATATAAAATTAATTAGAGAAATATCTATCTTATTAAGATAATAGTAATTTTAAGGATCAAATTGGGGTGACCCGAAACCCGAATAAGAAAAATGGGAAGACTGAGAACCAGACCGAAAAGGAACAAGTCTGAGCCAGTCGTGTGTGTGTGTGTGTGTGTGTATCTGTGTGTGTGCGCGCCTAGCGAATATGCTGCATTGAGAACTATTACCAGGAGGAAGGCAGGAACACAGGCTGCCCCTTTGTAAATGACGAGCTAACACCGTACCACATGCAAACAGCTAAATAATTCTATAGGTGAAACACCAAACCATTAGAATGGGAAGCAGCTCATGCCTATAAAAAGGGATCCTTCAACAATATTCCCATGCTGCATAATGTTTATTATTTCAACAACAACGATAATAATAATAATAACAACACTAATTTTTCAAAATGAGGAGGCTACCAAGAAATCAAATCCTCTGGGCACAGGCTTCAAAGCATCACTTGCTCTCAACATCATAGAGCTCTGATCTGGACATGGTTATGTTAAGGAAGCAGACAAGAGAAAGCATTCAAATAGATAGATGGTCACAACAATCCATGATGACATTCTTTTTAACTAATCAAAATATTGTACCCACACCTTCCCCAGACCCTACTCTCGTGGGATCCTACTGGGTTGTTGTTTGTTGATTGTAACTAATAATAATGTTGTTTCCTGGTATAAACAGGTAAAGAGGCACTCCTATTTATTATGGAATACGGAGTACAGAGTGTTACGTATTAATATGATTAAGGTTCCACTCTTAAGTAAGATGGGCGGCCCTTCATTCTCAGAAACATTTCTAGTGTACAAGCCTGTCTTTGATGGGGTTCCTAGTAAAATGATCATATAAAACCTGGAAAAACACCAATTTTCTTTCAAATAGCATATTGGTTGTAATGCATTTCACAATGCTTTGCATTAGAAAAGATAGGAAAGCCCCACAATTGGCACCACCTTTGACACCCCATAGGGTCTTGCACGCCCACATGTGCGGAAACCGTGTATGTTTGAAAGACACTATGGTGTCAAAGGTGGTGTCACATCAGGGGTTCTCTAGCATGACTGATGACTCATGCCTGCATAATGATTAATGACCCACAAGACTCAACTCCCCTCAACTAGACCACTTCTTACTTCACAGCCACACACACCAGCCTGTTCATACAGGCCAGCCTCCACTACTACCATCCAACTGCAACCACCCCGATCTACAGGACTGAATGATGCATCTCATCCTTATCATCCCTTGGAAGTTGACACACACAGAAGCAGCAGCTAGCAAGAGAAAGGGCCTCTGATACAATCATGGTGAGCAAAGGGCACAGGGCCACTGTTATATACAGTTGTTTTTTGTCGAGTTTTACAAATCTGAGAGCAAATGTCGGGGGGAAGCACTTTGCAAACAGCTTCAGGAGTCAACGACGCCAGGGCTCTTGTTTAATTGTGATCGTTACTTGGTGAACAGATTTCCTTCTTAAGCAGCAGTCCTTGACTCAATTTGGAGGTTCACAGCATACACTTTGAAGCGGATGTTTTAGTTCTACCCTTTGCAGGTTTTGATATGACTTTAAGGGTAAATCGGCTATGATGGCTGGGTGGGATCTAGAGGGGTTTTAACCATTGCTGTTAGTTTGGCCAAAGACAGGCAGGCTCTATTATGACAGCTTACACACGCACTCAGGGGATTCGTTCCACATGCCAGTGGGGTTGCCTCCTCCATATCCGTGTCACTGCCACATCACCTTACTGCCTGTGTCGAACCAGTTGCATTGCAGCCTTACCGCTCTTCCTACTTTCATGTGTCAAATCAGGGCATCATTCAACCCAGACACTTGTTTCGTTGGCGGTACATTTAGTAAGATATTTCCTCCTAGTGTGTGTGTGGACTACAAGGAGCTCAAAGCTAAGACTGTTATAGAGAAGTACCACATTCTAGTGCTTGATGAGCTACTGGAAGAATTTCACAAAGCAAAATTCTTCACCAAACAAGATGTGTGCTCTAGTTACCATCTGATTTGAATGACACCCGAGATTTTTTAGAAGAATTCATTTCAAACACATCATGAAAACTTTTGAAGTTCTAGTTATGCCATTTGGCCTCTCTAATATCTCTTCTACCTCCCAAGGTTTCTGGAACAACATTTTTGGATCGTACCTCCATAAGTTTGCTTTGGTTTTCTACAATGATATTTCAATCCAGAACAGGACAAGGCTGGATCATCAGAGCATGCTCGTCATGTTCAAGAACCATACCATGACTCCAACATTATGCTTGTGCAGTGGACAGTTGACCCCTATAGTCTATACAAAGAAACTCAATGAACTGAAAGTGCTGTTGTGTGCCAATCAATTAAAGGAGCCAGTGTTGAAATATCGGGAATAGGGATCGTGGATAGTCTCATGGGATAGTTATAAGGTATAAGGGAAGGGATATTTGCTTTTGCACACAGACTTGAAAAATTGAAATAGATCATAATTCTATTCTTGCAGTCTCTTATCCGATCATGAAGCAAAATGTAGAAGGACCAAGAGTTAGTGGTTGTTACAAAATCCTAGGTACTTGCACGCCACATGTAAGACTAGGAGAATCGTGACAGTCTATAAATGTGTGGATTTCCTCTACTTGATCCAATACTGTTGGAATATGCATGTACTCGGTTAAGCTTGAAGTATTAGTAAAATTTCAAGTGACTCGCTTGGGGACTAAACTAGGCACAAGATATGTTGAACCGGGATACATCATTGTGTTCTACTTTGGGAAAACTTTCATGCAATTACTCCCTAAAACTCACGATTTTACATATGAAATAAACCCCCAGATTGCAAAACTATCATGGTTGCTCCCAGAATATTAGCAATTTCATGCCGCTACTCCACCTTTCACTGAACATCTACATTTTGGCAGTGTAATTTTCCTTTGACTGGTGTGGCATGAAATTGTTAATATTCTAAGAGTAGCTATGACAATTGACAATTATGCAATCTGAGAGTATTTATGCAAAACGGTGAATTTGTTGGAGTATTTACATAAATTTTTGTCTCCTTAATATATGTTTGCTATTCATTCTTTACTTCTCTTTAATACTTTATTCTCACAAAAAAAACATGTAATACTCTTGTCACACCCTAGATTTGTCAGTTATTACTAAAAAATACATGTTGGAGGGAACTCCTATCGAGGAAATAGCTCCAGAAGAACCTTAGGATTTCCTCATTGATGATATGATATGTTGGCCGTCTATAAGGATATAAGCACATGGTGTTATATGCGCTTATTGATCTACAATAGCAAAATTATACAAACCCAACTTAAGCACCTAAACAAGAACGATTCCGTCCTCCACAACTATGCAAATAGTATCTCAATCAAGCACAACAGAAGTTATCTACAGAAGAGAACTATGCTTGGTCTCCCGATCATTCCCTCATTATTCAATTGCAGTAACATTATAATATGAGACACACCAAGTATAGTTAGCCTGCAGTTCTAACATAAGTACAATGTTTCCCCACTATTGATGTGAATACCTAAATGGCCTTTTTGGTTATGATTCAAGTACAGTACCGGGCCGAATTCAGAATAGTATTAAAATACAGGTTTAAATGTGATAGATAAATATCTAGTATTTGCTTTGTACCAATTGTACAAGAAAATAATAAAAGGGTTTTAATCTCCTCCAAAGATGGGGGCATTGTCGTTTTAGGTTAAGCTACAGTAGTCATCTTCTTACCCTTGCCAACGTAGTCTTCTGCCTTCCCTTGGCTTGTGTGTCACAGCCGAAGAAGCAGTGATGTGGGAATGAATTTGACGGAAGTTAGGAAATGGGTCTGGTGGTAATCTTTGTAATCAATCACAAGGAATGGGTTTGGGCTTGAAACCACACAAACAAGTCCTAATATTTCACACCCAACAGTCCACAGTCCCACCTAGAGAATGAAACTACACTAATACCATTTAAAAATGCATGTTACTCTACTAAGCAGAAGGAGAGAGAAGATAATGGAATGTAAACTACTTGGAATTTTAGGGAAGAATATTCAAGATCCAACTTTAACTACATGCACTAGTTCAGTTATACCCACAGACAAAGCATATGCAGTATATGATGCACAAGCAAACACATCCCAATAATTCTAGATATGCAAATAAGAAATCGCATGAAAATAAGAATTCAGGCCATAAGGGATACATTAAGTAGAGTCCATGAGCAAATGCACCAGCGAGAACGCCATAGAACAGCCTATCCCTCACAACAGGGTTGTGCCGCAACGAAATTCGAACTGGAAAATCAAAATATCATCGATACTGGACATTTAGTGGGTGTATTGCTCATGGAATTACTGACATTTTAATAGAAGTCATCGGAATTCAAATTAAGTGTGAAAATTGAATCTAAATTAAAGAAAAAAACAGTATGATTGTATGAATACAGAATTTTGATGACAAGATGCATGGAAACTTACTAAGAGGAAGAACGGGAGCGTAGACCAAAGGGAGCAGCATCATAAATGGGGGCTTCCTTTGAGTCCTTACCACTTTCCTTCATATCAGACAAGGAAAACACATCGGATTCATGAATTCACTCAGAAATCAAAACATTTCGTTTGAATCGGGATGGCTTACTCACTGCTCAGTTTGGATCTTGGGATCCGTCGGTGAAGCCATTCGTGCAGAGAACAAGCTTTCGGTTTTCTCAACGTGGACTAGTCGAGCAATAGATGTTTGTGACTGAGTAAAATTGAAACATCAGAAAAAAGCTGGCTCTAAAGAAGCCAGCCCAGTAGTAAATTGGGCCAGGATAACCAGCACATTTGGTTCATTTTTAGAGGGTGTTTAGACTTTAGAGTTACTAAGGACATACTCCATATAGAGGTGGGCTCTGTCCGTGATAGTTCGTGAATCGTGATACTACATGAACTTATCACGAACTACTCTTATTTAAACAATTTGATTTTAGTACGGAATGAACCCCAAAATTATTTGGTATCATTCTATTTTGAAATGGAATGATACCATATCATACTCATGCTCAAACCGTGTAAAAAAAAATAAACATACATTACTCAAAGAATATTGAAATAAGAATTTTTTTAATAAAAAAGCACAACTTTGTTAAATATAAGTATTGATTTCGAATCTAAAAGAATTATAAACATAAAGAATAAAAGATAACGAGCCTAAATTTTAAAAAATACCCGAGTAGTTTTTTTTTCAATTAATATAATATCGAACTATTATAACTCTAAAAACAATGCAAATAGTAGTAATGCATATAATAACAACAATAATAATGAAAGAAATAAAAAATGAATAATACAATACGAAGTACTCTATATACGGTAAAATGAAACAGATAAATACTGCGTAATTATTTGAGATACTTCGTAAAAAAGCTTGGAACGGTTCGGTCCGTGATAATCGGTTTTAAATATTTATATCATAGTCCCGTCTCGCTTGATATCGGTTCGGTTTTAGTTTGTGATGAAAAAAATCAATCTTGTTTAAAAACACTATAAACGGTTTGGTACCATTACGATCCGGTATGGTACCATGCTTATTCAGTTTTCTTCAACCCCTAACTCCATACCATTTTTTAAGTAATTTCATTTCATTTTTAAGATCAAAACGGAGGGGTGAAACCAACCGTGAAACTCCGAACCTCGAGAGAGGTGGCTCCTTAGCACATGTCTCGACCAGTAACAGCCCAGTTCTTCCACCTGCACAAATCGGCGGAGACTCCTCGGTGAAACACTGAACTCTCTCCAACTCACCCATATGTCCTTCCCCATTTTAGCAAGTGCATCTGCGACTCTGTTTTACTCTCTAAGTACTTGATAGATATGAACCTCCCACTCCTTCCTTATCCAACTCTGGAATGCCTCAATGATATTATTTTCAAGACCCCTTGTTGTGTATTTACCTTGAATCCATTCCACACAGTTCATAGAGTCGCATTAGATTGAAAACTTGCAAACGAATGTCTTTCTTCCACACCCAAAAGAGGCCTTTTAAAATTGCTCAAGATTTAGGATGTGTTTTCTTCGAGTGATCTAAATTGAATATTTTAAGGTTGATCTGTGATCTAAAGGATTCTCGTATGATCTAAGCGGATTTGATTTGAATGGATCTAATTCAAATTCAAATAATTAGAGTAATTATTATTATTATATTTATAAAAACAATTTTATTATTAATTTTTATTAATGATTATTTTTAATAATATTTACAATAATAAATTTTTATTAATAATTATAATTGTAATTATTAACTATTATTATTATTATTAAGTGTTATGATTAATGATGATTATTATCATTATTAATTATAATTATTATTAAATTTTATTATTGTTATTAGTTAACAATAAGATTAATAACTAGTATTATTATATTTAAAAATAAATATTATTATTAATTTTTATTATCATTATTATTTTTTATTATTAGTTAATAATAATGATGATGATTAGGATTATTTTAATCACAAAGATTATTAACTACTATTGTTATTATTGTAATTATTATTTTAAAAACTATTTATTTTTAAAATAATTTTCTAACTTGAATGGATTTGGTCTGAACTTAATAAATCTAATTTGATTTGAAGTGATCTGAGTGCATCTGATTTGATCTAAATAAATCTGATTGCTTTTAATAAGAATAAGCATTAAGTATTTGAAATAAGTTGAAGAGAACAGGACCTTATCTAGTTCCCCTCATGCCCTTTTAATACCCCTCCATAGCTTGTATCATTAGATTCCACACTCGCATCCACCTTTAAACATGTCGAGTCAACATTCAGTTTAAGCCATTTTACCCGAGAATGTTCCTCATCTAATGGCTTCTCAATGACGTTTTAGCTCTTGGATGCTCTCACCATCTCCATATTTTGAGACATAATCTAGTTGACTCTACTCTCATCGTCATGTTCAACATTGTTGATGACATATTCGTTCCTCCATTTCCGAACCCACCAACATGTGATCGCCAAAATCGTTAGCCACTCCAACCCATGTGACATTGTAATTTCCCCTGCATTGAGGGTCCCACAATGAGCTCACCATTCGTTCCTTATCTCAACATCACGAAGATCCCACATTAGGCTCGTGCTAACATGTCTCGCCGGACTTACGTGCATTTGTAGGAGGCTCCGTGCAAGATTTGCAACATTGTGAACACAATTCTTAGCATCATATCCACCGAGTGTAGAGATGTAGATCTCGTCTGGTGTCATATTTAAGACCTCTTAATGGATCGACTCTTGCATAGCTATGCAGTTTTGCTCCAATTCACCAAACTTAATGTATAACCCTTTACAATAGTATTTGAATATATAATTACGATACATATATACTCTCATTGTCACTTACCGAGACCTCTTTTTCCTTATGATTTATATAGATTATCCATCGTGTTTTACTGTATGAGTATGTGTGCAGGACGAGTATAAGTCTGTCGATTATCCACTTTTACCCTACAAAAATAATATATATATATGTGTGTGTGTGTGGGTGGGTGGGTGTGTGTGTGATTATTTAAATAGTTATATAACCACCGATGTGTGTGGCTCAATGGTGAGTCAATGGTGTGTTCTTATGCTCCAATTTATTTTAGATATTGGTTTTGTTCTTATTTTATGATGAATTTATATGAGTATAAAAGACTAAAAAATTAAATTTTCTTATGATAGCCTTTTTCTATCAAATCCTTTACTCGACTTCTACGAGAACCAATTGGAGACGAAGTTTCGTTGCATACTTTGTGCAGCCGATCGCGAAGGTGGAGAGAAGGAGAAGGGGAGATAATAAACCTAATAAAATAGAGTTGAAGAGTCTTCCTAATCAAATTCTTTGAAGCATAGTGTATATGTATCCCTATCACATAAGATAGCTAGTAATAGATATTATTTGAATTATAATAGAATAGTTTTTAATTTTCTATATACGAAATTGAGTTTTTATTATTTTCTCTAATACAGAAAATAATAATAAATTTTTTAAAAATTGTACTTATTGTTTTTCTAAAATAATAATTTAAAATGTGATTAAATTTCTTCTCGTGTATCGCATGAGTTATAATAAATAAAAAAAGGTAAAGTATGAAATCTGTATTGGGAGAAATGAAAAAACAAAGTACTTCCTCATCATGCAAAAAGATTTTGCAAAAGAACCGGCATGTTTAATAAAAAAGTAAAATTGTATAATTAAAAATTATACTTCATGCATTCCATAAAATTTTTCTTCTTTCTTTTTTATCTGTCCCAAAAAAACATTTCTCATTTCTACTAAAAAGTCACTTTTACCCCTACTAATTCTTAACCTACCTATTATATCACACTTTTTTCACTATTAACTGTTCCTTCACATCTACTTTTAGTTTTACTCATCACATCAAAAAATATTTTTGTAAAGTCAACACCAAAATATAATTCTTTTATATCTTTTAAAAGTCAAAACCAGAAAAATTTTGTGGGACGGAGGACATATAAAATTAGAAAAAAATATTATGTTGTTCACAAAATATTTTTATAATAAAAATAAGACTTTTGGGACGAAAAGATAATTTTGCACATTTTTAATTATGGGACGAGAAGTAAAAAAAAATTGTTTTGAAATGGATAAGCACCACAACCGAGAGGGAGATGGAAAAGCAACAAAAAAAATGAGAGTACAATGAAGAAGCAAAAGCCAGGAAATTAAAGCAGAAATTCGGGGCAGATGATGAGATGAGTTTTGGCAGGAGAAAAACAACAAAACCAACAAATTAAAGCACAAAGGAAGCCTATAGGATGGATAGCTACAGCCTATTGCTGCCTAACTGGATCAAACTTGTCAGCCTGCCAATTTACCTTTCATATGTGTAGCTCAGTGATGTAACTTCACAAAAGAATCAAAAATAATTTTTTTCCTAAAAAAAAGTGATGTTATATTCATGGATTATGCTATGTGTACTCCAAGGGTTGTACCCCAATTTGTACCCCGCAGTTTTACACCAACACTTTGTGTTGGTGTAAAACTAATTTTTGTTAAATGCACCAACATTTGTGTCCGTGTGAATTTTTATTAACGCACCAACACTTGTGTCGGTGTAAACCATCGAAATATTTGTGCAAACCTGTGGTGTACAAATGGGGTATATTTTTTGGTGTAAGTGTAGCATGGTCCTATATTCATCCTTATTATGCCTATATTCACTTCATTTATAATTAAATGGATAACTTTGCCCTTAAAACAAAAGAAGAAATATTAGATGTTAGCCAACTTTAATGATAAATTTGTCCATTTTACATAAATGAAGTGAACTTAGCCATTGTATTACTCTTTTTCTAAAAATAAAAGTATTCATTTAATACTCCCTCCGTCTCATGAAACATGGAAGTTTTGTTTTTTATGAGGGATTTAAAGGAAGTGTATTTTGGTATTGAATTTCCAAAAATGTCCTTTGATGTGATGGGTAAAAGTATGATTTGGTGGATAGATTATTAGTAAAAAGGTATGATATGATAGTTAGGGTATGAAAAAGTAAGGGGTAAAAGTGACTTTTTAATAGAAATGAGAAGTGTTTTGTGGGACGGATAAAAAAAGAAAGGAGAAAGGTTTTATGGGACGGATGGAGTATTATTTTTTAAAACTAAAAAAGATTTAATTATTTGTTAAATAAGAGTTGCATTTCGTAATAGTAATATTTAAAAACTGAATGTTTTTGTAATACTAGTAATTTAATGAATTTTTATTTTTTTTAAGATCAAATTTTTATTCAATGACATTTATTCCTTATTTAATTGATTATCAAAGTTCGTTTAATTACCTTTATAAAACAAAGTTATATAAGCTAGACCAATAATTTGAGATGTAATGTAGTATTTTTTGTTTTAGGTTATTTGAACATTTTAAAATTTTTGAATCAAGATAGTTAAATTTTAATCATCAATTACGTTATGTTTCATTGCATTATAAATATAATAAAATACTACATGAATTTTTGAAACTTTTCTACAAGATTAATTATAATAATATACCCAAGTATAAAATAATTTTTTTATTTGATAGTCAAAGTCTGCCCATATTTTGATTCTTAAAAATTAAATTGGATGAATACTCACTTATATATTCTTTTCATCTCAAATTAGATTATAATTTTTTTGCGACCTATATTTTGATAATTTTTATTTATAACTATATTTTTATTTATTTTTTATAAAATAAAAAATATTGTTGTCAGTTCTTGTTCTGTATAAGTTTTGACATAATTTTCTAATATGTAAATTTTATTAATTATTCTCTTACCATTTTTAATATAATCAAATGTTATAAAATGAAAGGTATGGTATCATAAGTAAAAAATTATAATCTGATTCAGGACGGGGAGAGTATACTCCATCTAAGAGCATGACTAATGGGGAGGAAACGATGGAGGAATATGATGATGTTGAAGGAAAAATGAGAGAAGATTGATTAAATTTATAAAAATTTTGAATTAGAAATAATGAACATTGTAAAAGAAACGAAAAGACAAGTTTTCAAGGCCATAGCATTGGTGAATTTAGGGGCACGTTGGAAAATTAGTAAAATGATAATGTGATAGGAGTTGGGACGGACGGATTTATTTGTGTAAGTAAGAGAGTATTTAGTGGAGTGTTTTATAATGTAGTACAATATCTATGGGATTCATTTAATATTCTCTGGCACCCTATTGATAAGACCATAACTAGAACCAGAGGTTTTGGATCAGCTACAAGTTATGGGGTGATGAATACATACATACGGAGTATTTGTACTGTACACATTTGATGCACAGATTTCAAGAGCAAAGTGTTGATCTTCAGTTGTTGTTCTTTCCCATCATCTTCTGAACTGATGTAACTATACAAAAGATTGGATTATGGGGAGTAGCACAATTTTACAGTTAAATGGCTCAAGATCCCATATAAATAACCAAATTACAATGAACAACATAAATTATTAACTTGTGTAAATCTACTTTCAGGCCATATGACATAATTTGTCCCTTATATGCAGTATGGATAGCCCTATAGCTATTTCTTTTCTTTTTCACAAATTTACTTCCTTACACAAAAACCTCCTTCTCCCACAATATTTGCCACACTTATATTCTCGAGGTAAAATATTAAATTTTTCTAAGTCATTTTATTCAAATATTGGTATATAAATAAAAAATAAAATTTACATATCAAAAAACTACATGAAAAGTTCTTCGAAATAAGAGGTGTCAAAAATATTTTGTTTTATCAAATAACCAATGAAAACATAGAAATAATCAAAAAACATAGGAGATTGAGTCGTGCTGGATTTGAAATTGGATTGTTTCTATGATGCACCTTGGGTAGTAAGTAAATGCTTATTTTTGCTCATATGTGGATTCATAGTGGACCTTAGGTCCACCATAAAATTTGCCTTGAAATTGAGATTTATTTTCTTCCCTTATTAGGCTGATTTTACGTATAATGCAACCAAATATAAAATATCCGTACTCTCAATTTGGCATCGTGTCTAAGTGCTTCTTTGGTGCACCTTAGGTGCCTACCACCACTAGTACAAAATCGGGCAAAAAAATCGCCTCATTTGCATCGGAGTCGCAAAAACCGATTCTAATGGTAAATAATTTCGCCAACCGGTTGTTATTTGAATCGGTTATTATAATAACCGATGCAAATAACCAATTACATTGGTTATTTTCTAAAAACCGATGCAAAAGCTTTAACCCAAATATTTCAAAAAAGGTACAAGAGTCTTTTGCATCGGTTCTACGTATTAATCGATGTAAAAAAAAGCCACCACTTGCCTCTGCGTACTCTTTACGCATTTATATTCAACTTAAGCCACAAATCTAAGTATTCGACTCCACCGGCCGCGCTACCAGGACGATTCCGTTCTACAGCTTGAGCCCCTCAATGTCTACTACAACGATCTGCAGCTTGAGCGCCTCAATGTCCCCCGCGACGTCGTCATGGATCTAGAGCCTGGCACCATGGATTCCGTCAGATCCAGCCCCTACGGCCAGATCCTTCCGCCATGACAACTTTGTGTTCGGCAAGTCGTCCGGCGCTAGAAACAATTGGGCCAAGGGACACTACACCGAGGGCGCTGAACTCATCGACTCTGTCCTGGACGTCGTCCGCAAGGAGGCCGAGAACTCTGATTGCCTCCAAGGTGCGCGAATATACATAAACTCGTTTTTGTTTGTGTTTGATGGAGTATTTTTGCTTAAGAGTTCCTAGATCTGATGTGCCTGGAAGCGATTGCAGCGGAATTGATGGTTTAATTTTTTTGGTTTGTGTTTCTAG